TTCCACTTAGCGAAACAGTGTAATTCCTTACCTAACTCGTTTACTATTTATTTGTCAGCATATCCTCACCCACCTCAGGGAAAAACTGTTGTCCCTAATTTTTTTCTCTCATTATTAAAATGCAAAATTTCTCATACTGTATTTTTTTGTTTACAATTATTTTACCTATCCACTGTAAAAATCGTAAACTGCTGAAAATTCACTTTTTGGGTGCATAACGCTCTTCTTAATTTGACTTGACTTGAGCTGGCCAAAATGTGTATGGAACGAGAATAGGCTGCCGATCAGACAAACTTACGATTTATATCCATACTACTTCTAAGTAGTATGAGAAATATGAAACATGGTACTAACTAAATGTGAGCTAGAGCACGAAGAGATCACGAATAAAATAATATTTTTTTAAAACTTTTAAACAGGGGTTTAATTGTCTGATACGTTACAAATAATGTATATCGATGGTGACATTTTTGAATTGAGAAATCGAATCGTGCTTGACACTGTACCTCGTNGGAAAGCGTGTGCTATTCCAACGGTACGCGGCTGTTCCATAAACAAGTGGATGAGTAGTTCTATTCGAATGCCTCGAACGAATGCTATGGGATATGAAATCTGGCTTCTTTAACACGCAACGATAGGATCGAGTTCAACGGGAAAAGATAGAAACTGTTTAATAAATTACTAATCACAGACGAAACGATTCGTCGCAAAATACCTCTCTCTCTCTCTCTGTGTGTGTGATTCGAATACCATAAATGCATATGACAGTACCCAACCGAAGGACAACAGCCAGGGAACGCAAAAGCTGCCCAGTTTTCCCAAGACAACCAACGGATTGAGGTGACACAAGTCTGTTTCTTGCGTCTGGCAGTTGCTCAGCATGTTCATTTTTTTTTCTCTCTCTCTGTTTCTGTCTCTGCGAAAATTTCATTACGAAATAAGAGATCACAATACAAGGAAGGAGGTTAAAGAAGGGGACAAAATTGTGCCGGACCGGGCCGAGCGAACATCCATCCATCTGGTT